GTGGTGGTGTTTGGTTTCCAATCATGGAGTCGCCGGGCTGCTGCAAGGCCCTGCGAAGCTCCCAAGAAGGGATGGCCGCAGATGCACAAGCAACACTCTGCACCGGCACCTGTTTTGCATCATTGACATGGTGAGGTACATACTCGGCCCTTTTTGCATCCAGGCCTATTGCGACTGCCGGGTACCCCTAAACCCTTAAACTCTAGGCGAACCAAGGCACTCTGGATGGCAAGAATCTGCTTGAGCTTCTGCGAGTCCCTGCGGCCAAACCCCTAATTTTTCCGATTCCCGTGAGTGATGACTTGGAAGTCTGGGCTGAAGAGAACAAGTCAGCGACTGCAAACGTGTTCTAGGCACTAGCTTTGAAGCCAACCTCAACAACGGGCGTGTTGTGCCAACGAGGCCGACTGCCTCAGATAGCTTCGCCCACGGCTTCAGAAGGTTACGCAAAATCTCCAGTTCCGAACTCCCTTACGTAGGGCTTCTGGGGCCGCAAAAATTCGGAATGCACTCCCAAAATCCGCCCCACAAGCTTGCCAATCTCGAACCTCACTTGGATCCTCTGCCGAAGGCACAGTAGTCAGTGCACAAGCCGCATGGCAAAAATCTAACGGGACGATACCGCCAACGCCGCCGCTGATGATGACCACCTGCGGATCGTCGGGGCCCAGGACACATCACGACGACGGGCGGAATAACGCTACGCCTTGCGAAGTGGATTCTTATTGCCACTACGGCTACTCTGTGCAGCACAGAAAGATACCTTGTCGGGAACAGCTACGAATCTCTCGACGGCCTGTTACGGTACTATATACACCGGCCAGCAAGTCCATAGTCTAGCCGAGTCAAGCCGAGTCTAGTGCCTCAAGCTTGTTAGGCCAGCGCCGTGCCCGTTGGCCTGGCTACAGCAGGACAGGTTCGCTGCAAAGCAAAGGCCTGCACACCGGCCATCCAGAACAAGTATGCGTCGAAGGACTTGCAGGCAATTTGTACCACGTCGGATTGCCTTGCTTCCAAGCGTGGGCCAACATCTACTTGCAAATGCCAGTGCCAGAGTTGCAACCAGAACTAAATGCATCAAGAAAACACCTGTGCAAGGAAACTGTTGCAGATTGTATGAAGGCTGCTACTTACGAGTCAGTCCAATACTTGACAAGCCGAAGAAAAGCAGCTCAACATAAAGTCATGACGCCGTAGATCCGAAACAGTGAAGAACCACTCCCAAAGCACTGGGAGAATCTAGAAGCCTTCCAGAACCGTTAAAAACGTAAAACCAACAAGACCACTCCAAGACCACCGCAATGAATCAAGCCCCTGGACCACTTCCGGAAAAACTCAACTCTTGAACAACTATGGCATTCGAACAGTTAAGTGGTTCTGTGAATGCGCTCGATGGGATGGCCACCATCATCCCCACCATTGTTGCTAGCACTGCTCGCATTATCATCCCTGCCACTCCAAATCATGACATCATACTTGTTGTAAACTGCCAGCTGTTGGAGGGGCTAGCTAACGACAATGATGCTGATGTTGTTGCTGCTGCTACTGCTCCTCC